CAGCGCCCCCCGCCGAGCCCCCGCCCCGCGGCCCAGCGCCCCCCGCAGAGCCCCTGCCCCGCTCCCCGCGGCCCAGCGCCCCCGCCGAGCCCCCGTCCCGCTCCCCGTGGCCCAGCGCCCCCTTGTGCCACCCTAGGGCTTCGGGGCCAACACTGCCTGCCAGGGGACGCGCCCACTGGGGCAGGGGCTCCCAGGCGCCGCGTGACCAGCCCCCGCCCCCCCGCAGGTGGAGACGCTGACGACGGAGCTGGGGGCCGAGCGCAGCTTCTCGCAGAAGGCGGAGAACGCCCGGCAGCAGATGGAGCGGCAGAACAAGGAGCTGCGGGCCAAGCTGGGCGAGCTGGACTCCTCCGTCAAGGCCAAGTACAAGCTGACCATCGCCACCCTGGAGGCCAAGGTGGCCCAGCTGGAGGAGCAGTTGGAGCAGGAGTCCAGGTGACCCTGGGGCCAGGCCGCTGGGGAGTTGGGGGGGGAGGGGGCTACCCAGCATGCCCTGGGGCTGGACAGCAGGGTAGGGGTAGGGGGGCAGAGTTGGGAACCAGGTACCCAGCATGCTCTGGGGCTGTATCCCCTGGGGTATAACCCACTGCTGTGGGACCAGGGGGCCTGACTACCCAGAATGCTCCCGGGGTGGGGGGCTTGGCGTTTGTCTACCCAGAACCCTCTGGGGGTCACAGAAGGGATGTGGCTGCCCTGGGGGATTCTGGGTACGGTGCACCCCCCCTTGAGCCTGGTGCTGACCCCCCCCGTGTCCCTCCCGGCTCAGGGAGCGGATCCTGTCAGGGAAGCTGGTGCGTCGGGCGGAGAAGCGGCTGAAGGAGGTGGTGCTGCAGGTGGAGGAGGAGCGTCGGAGCGCCGACCAGTTCAAGGACCAGGTATGTGCCCGCCCCATGGCGTCTCCCCCCGGCCCCCTGCCCTGCCCCATGGCGCCCCCTGCCAGCCCATGACCTGCTCGGACCCTCGTGGCACAGCCCCCCCCCCCTCCGCCGACACGAATACCTCACAGCACGGCACCCCCCACTACCCTGCCCTGCCCCACAGTGCCCCCTACCAGCCCCGTGCCCTGCCCCACAGCGCCCCCTACCAGCCCCGTGCCCTGCCCCACAGTGCCCCCTGCCAGCCCCGTGGC